CACATACTTATTACTTACCAAATATTTATTAAGATTGTTTTAATATCCGACCTTTTAGGGTAATGCTAACGATTACCAATACCAAACAGCAATACTAAAACCAAATTACACCCGAGGTCACTGGGCCCACTCTGACTGCCAGTGATCCCACAGCAGGGATGCCCCGGGGGTTCTGAGGCTGCACGTCCTATGGCAGTGGGAAGCCTCTCCTTTCTCCTGTGGAGCCGCGTGTGATTTCAAACTGCTGGCCTTGTGATCAGCAGCCCCACGTGCAGTTCACTGCACCACCGGGGACCCCATCTGCAGTACTCAATGACTAATAACTGGGTTCCTCACATTATCCCGGCACAACCGCAGGACAACCTTTCGGCGTTTCCCCCTCCCATTTCACAGATGCAAACACCAAGGCTCAGGATGGGAAGTGGGAGGGCTGAAGGAATTCCCCTTGGGCTTATTGGATTTCAAAGCAGAGGAAGCCCAGTTTTGTTCTCAGCTGGAATGGCCCCAGGTGCAGGGTGCTGAAGGAGGAACTGGGGTCATAAGAAAGAGGTCATTTCCTCTTCTTTCTTTTATCGCAATCAGTTCAGGGACAAGCAGGTGTTTTAAAGAAAAATGGGACGTTTGGCTCTTCAGTGGCCTGGGACACACCTGTGTTTTACTGGTTGTTTCTTTGTCCCCATCGTCGCTGTCCAGTTGGTTCCGACTCATAGTGGCCCAGAGCACAGCAGAAAGAATCCCCGCCTGGGCCGTCCGCCACCTCGTGGTGGTTCTGCTTGGGCTCGTTGCCACAGCTACCGTGGCTACTTGACCCTCAACCAAGCACGAGGTCCTCTTCCAGGGACAGGTTTCTCCTGATAACGTGCCCAAAGCACGCGAGACCAAGTCTTACCACCCTCGACTCTAAGAAGCGGCCATCTGCTCTTTCTTCCTCGACAGAAAGCCATGAGGATCAAGTGTGGGCTTCGTGGGGAGGTTTGTTTTGAATGAGGTGCTCCTCTGACCCAGAGCTCTCGCAGTGCGGCCTGGTGACAACCCCGCAGCCATCTCTGCAGAAGTGGTAAGTGAAGGGACTCCTCACCTCTCCCACCCCAGCCTGGGTTTAGGAGACAGAGTCGCGGAAGCGGAGTGGGAGGCTTCAACCCACTTCTCCAGCCTCCGCCTTGACCGTGACCTCTCCCTTAGGCCACACTGCAGCCCTGCTGAATTAGTGGAAGTTTCCAAGCCTGCCGGGAGCCTTCTGTGTGCTGAGCTGGTTTTGTTTGTTTTTGGTGCAGTTTCTTCCACTTGGACACCCTTCTCTCCCTGTTGTGAGCCCACTCATCTTTCAAAACTCACTTAGACGTCCCCACCCCTTGGATCCCTCTCCTGACTTTAATCAAGACCTCCGAACTGTCGTGCCAACAGTTTCCCTTTCCCTCACAACCCCCACGGGACAGCCGGCGACCTTCCTAAAACACAGATCTTTGTCACATCACTCCTGGCTTAAAAATAACCTGTCAATAGAATAATCCATCAATCAATGCTCCAAGGGCTCCTCTTTGCCCTCAGGACGACATCCAAAGCCTTTCGGGCTGGGACTCAAGGCTTGATCTCTGCTGACCTCCCTCGCTTCAGCTCACCCCTTCTCCTCTCCTCATCACCTCCCACACACTGCTCTCGCACCGCATCTCAGACACGCCTCTCCTTCCTGGACTTAGCTGACTGTCCTTCCTCATATCGGTGCCCGTTGTCTGCACTAGGCCAGTCCTGATTTAACCTTGGGGACTTCTTCCCCAGTGGTCCCAGGAATAGTCTGTAATGCCCCCCTTTTCCGTCTCCTAACTTTGAGGTATGCTGGCTAGTTGGGTGTTCGGATGAATGAACGGCTATTTCCCCAGGCACCATGATTAATAGTATGTGTCAGAGTGGTGAGGTGTTGGTTCTCAGTGGTTTGGCAGACATTGGGCTGGTTGCTCTTCCATGAGATAATATGATGTCATCATTCTCTATTTTGTGATCGATGCGAGAAACCCGTCAGCTGAAAACCAATCCGTTGAAAGGCATGACCTTTGGGGGCGTGGCCTGCATACAATACACATGGGTATTCTGGTAAAGCTTGCTCTTTCAAGCCTGCATTCTCTGACGTCTGGTTATTGGGATGTGAGCCAGCAGCCTGCCATATGACTGCTGACGTTGAGTTCATCGGCCCTCAACCACTTCTATCAGGAAAAGCCTTGAGGTAGTTAGTTCATTGTGCCAACCTGGCTGATAAACACATGTGGGATTAATTGAAGGGCGGAGGGATAAATGGCTTGGTGAGCCTCGCCTTTCTAGTTCTCGGGTCTCTTGCTTTCTGATGGTTGGACCAGGGTGTAGCTGCTTTAGCAGTTCCCTGCTTTAGCTGTCAAGGCTCACTTTCTGCAAGACATCCCTAAGGAGAAGCCACATGGACCTACCCCAATGCAGCCTTGGGTGCTGGAGCACCCGTGTGGAGACCCCTGCCAGCGCTGAGATGCTTACACGTTCACTGTCGGCTTTCCTCCTGCAGTCGGCATCATCATGCCTGTTTTGTGAGATGGAGGAGGACTTGTGGATTGATGTCGGACATATGAGTTAATGTAGGACTTGTGGGCTTGGGCAGCACTGGGTTGGGATGTTTTCTTGATGCGCACTTAACCTTTATATAAAACTCTCTTGTACGTGAGTTTCTGTGGATTTGCTTCTCTAAAGCCTCCAGTCTGACACCTGATCCACAGCCTCCTCGACTGGATGAGCTATTTCCTTGGAATAAATCTGTTTATATTTACGAGCAGCACCGGTTTTTCTCCTCTAGATAACTCTGTCTAAGGCCCCGGAGGAAGCCCATTTGGTAGCACAAGCGGACGCAGAAGGAAAAGGCTGCTCTGGAACGGAGAAGGAAAATCAATAAAAATGTAAATCTGGTTGAGCAACGCTGTCCCAGGCTGGCTGTGGGGAGAGATAAGACAGACTAGCTGAGCCCTAGCTGACAGTGGAAGAAAGATTAGGGACAAGTGAAACTGGGGCAGGGCAGGGCACAGGGAGTGTGTCTCCCCTTAGTGGTGCCTCCTCCAAGTGCCTCAGTGCTCCTCCCACCCCCACACTGTTTGGGGACGCGGGAAGGGGATGGAGACTTACAACTGATCCCCCTGGAGGCAGTGCCCGGGATTGACTAGAGTCACAGCTGCAGGGAGACAGGAGGGAGGCAGGATCAACCTCACTGGGCAGGTGAAGACATTGAGGCACCGGGAAGCAAACGCGCCTGTTCAGAGGTCTCCCACGAGCAAGCCAGCAGCAGAGCCAAGAGGTGAATGAAGATCCACTCTCTCCACTCTAAGAGATTCGGACTCCCAGGAGGTCAACAGGCGGACGTCAGATGGTCCCTCACTTCTGAAACTGTCCACACAATTATGTTCGTGTGCAGTTTTAAAGAGAATGTCTATACATTTCGTCAGATTCCCAAAGATGATCATCACCGCCACCGTGGCTGACAGTGTGCCACCGCTGGAGGACAAGCTAGAAACCTGAGGGAGAGGGGGTGGAGAGAGAAGCTATGGAGTGGGGATGCAGAAGGCCATGTGGGCAGAGGAGGAGCTCAGGCAAAGACGTGGTGGTGGTGCCAACTCTAGTCCAAGTCCCAGCAGCCCTAGATGAGAGAGCTGAGCTGCCCCGTAGCCTTTGTGAGGCTGCCTTGCAACCAATTCAGTGGCACACAGCAGTCTTCATGGGAGCAGATTCCCAGGTCTTCACCTCGCAGAGCTGCTGGGGAGGTCGCACTATCCACCTTTCGGTGAGCGGCTGAGGATTTAGCTCGTTAAAGGCATCGTGTTGAGAAAGAATTCAGCCAATCTAGGAAAATGCCTATGGGTTCCGGCTCCTCATTCATCTGAGCTTCCATTGTGAGGATGGGACCTGGCTCCTGGCTCTGGAGGGGGAGCTGCCGGCCCAGACACTTCCCAGCATGAGCCCAGAGGTAGAAGAAACTCGGGGCTCGGGCGTTAGAACAGCACTTCGGGTCCGAATCATGTCTTCCAACTTGACATGGGATCTGGATCAATAGCACCTGGCTGGGACACGATCCTCTCGTGCTTGTAGTCCGGGGGAGGTAAAAGGAAAGCTCACAAGTCCAAGTCTGGGCTTTCTCTATCATGGGGAGGGTGCTGTCCCCTGAACCGCTCACTCTCTGGGAAGCCCACCGAGCTTTATCTGCCCATCTCTTGGCTGGCTCTCCAACCCAGGCCCCTCGGGGTGACACTGGTGTCTCCTCACCCTGGCCAGCCTGGAAGGAGCCCCAGCAGTGTGCTCATCACCGCAGTTCCTCAAATGTTGAAGGTAGGAGAAATGGCAGTCACAATGAGCTCTGCTGGCTGCTGCTTTGCCCTTGTCTTCCCGGGGGTCTGTTTCCCTGCAAGTGAGGGAGCTGGCGCAGCCCCGGCCTTTCTGGGATCTGCCAAGTTGGGGCTGGGGGTGCAGGGGAGTTGGGGGTGGACTTAATTTGGGCTCACAGCGAGACATTTGCTATCCATCTCCGCGCGGGGAATGGCTTCTGGGGCTATCCCTACCCACCCACCCCCCAACTCCCTCAACTTGGTGACATTCTGACATCATGGGCCACCGATATGGGAGTATTATGGGCTGCCTGGCCTGCAAGTAGATGGACAGTGGAGGAGAAATCGGAGAAATCGGATTTGACATGTATACAGAGCCAGAAGCCAGTCTGTGAGAAATTTTTTAAAATTCTGGGTTGGGAGGAGTCTTGTTAAAAAATACTGTCAAAGAAAGCTCTGCCTTGGGGGTCATCCTCTTGAAGTTGTGTTACATGCTTTTCTGTGTTTTGGCATATGAAACCCAGGATTGATGAATCATAGGGTCAGCATGTAGAATAAGGGTTTGGTGTGTCGGGTTGGGGGGGGGGGTTACAGTGGGGGGGGCATAAAAGGGAGGCGATGTCAAGAAGTCCACATAGACAAAGAATGTTCGGAGACTGATTGTGGTAGCAGTTGTACAATTTTACTTGACGTGATGAAAATATGGAATGATATATGTATTAAATCCCAATTTTTTAAAAAGCTATGTAAGGTAATACACTAGTTTATAAAACCATGATATTATTTCCCCACATTGTGGGGCATATTCGATGTGCTTTTACTGATGTTTTCAGTCTAAGGAAGTTTCCTCTCCCTCATGTAATTCAGTTGTACTTTTTCCTTAACGAGGCCTCTCCCCCCATTGTATGAACGGTGGTGTCCGCACAGCTGGAAACCTGGCTGTGCCCACAGTCGGTGGCCTGTGTGATCTGTGGCATCACTGACCCTTTCTGGGTCCATTTCCTCTTCTGCAAGGAGGGGACAGGGCAGTCTGGATGGGGGAGGGAGCCTTGTGACCTTATTCCTTTTCTGAAACCACTACTACAGGGAACATCCCGGTCGGATGAAAATCAGACCCCATTATAAAGATACGGAAAGAGGTAACAAACAAGAAATCACCGTGAGTCGCCTCCAGTAGAACACCTCAACTGTAAATAACCAGAAATGATGTGGCCCTTGCAAACTCTAACGCAGCTTCTAAGGCAGAGTCTTTGTAGCAGGAGCGGTTTATGCAAGAACGAATGGAATCCCCTAAGAGAGAAGGCAGGACTGGGCAGCGGCGCCCTCTGGGGGCCTGCACCACCATCTCAGTCTGCCCTCCCGGGTGGGGGGGCGCCCCTGGCAGGCTGCTGGAAGAATTAGTTCATTATTTAAAACAAGACAAAATACACATTTAATAATCAAGGATATCTACCATTTCAGATGATTTCTGCAAAGCCTGGGAGACCGGAGGGAAGCACAAGAAAATATACAGGTACTAAATAAAGGCCTTATCTGGTTGGAGGGGACGCTGACATTTTTGACACCGATAAATACTCGCATAGCCCGGATTGCTGCAAAATATTAAAGGTGTCGATTGGTATTTTAAAATCGAGAATCGGAATTTGGGTACTTTCTTCTTTCACAAGGGAAACAAACATTCAACCCCCCGTAAAAGGGGGTTCATTGCTCTGAGGGCAATCATGTGTGTCCCCACTGTCAGCCCCTCCGACCCCAGCTTGGCCCCCGGCTCCCAGTCCAGGGCTGGGGAAGGCCCTGCTGACAGCCCCCTGGCTTCTGCCTCCTCCTGATCAGATGGGGGCATCTCCCAGGTGGGGAGTGTGGTGGCAACAGAGTGGGGTGTCGGCACCCAGAAGCTCTCTTTTCCTCGTAAGGAAATAGCCAGGTCAGGAGTCTGTTCCCATTCCTAGGGACTCTATAGGACAGGCTAGACCAGCTCTATGGGGCTTCTGCAGCTGCACGCTTTCCGGGCTAGACCAGCTCTATGGGGCTTCTGCAGCTGCACGCTTTCCGGGCTAGACCAGCTCTATGGGGCTTCTGCAGCTGCACGCTTTCCAGGAGCAGACTGCTGCATTTTTCTCCTGCAGAGCTGCTCGGGGTTCAAGCTGCAGCCCTTTGGGTTAACAGCCAACTGCAGAGCTACTGTGCCCCCAGGGCTCCTTCGTCAAGCGAGAACAGGGTGTAAAGCAAGACCAGTCCTGGTGTAGATAAGGACTGAGCTGCCTAGTCCAAAGCATGGGCAGACCTGCTCATTACAGAACTGACCATGACTGCTCCCAGCATTGTGGACCTGGCTGTTACAAAGAACCAGCCCCAAAGACAACCAGATGTTTCCCCCAGACCCATGGGTGCCACACAAGCAGACATTCTCTACACAACCCCAGGTAATGCAGCAGACGTTGGGAAGGAATTGGCGACACTAAGATTTTATCTACAAGAGAGGCTGCAGAGACTTGAAGGTACCCGGTCATGTGTGTACCATCTTGACCATTTGGGGGGTACCAGTGGGTGTGTGCTTGGTCACTGAAGGTGGGAAGTACCCAAGGGTGGGGCCTGGGTCTCCCTCCCTAGACTAGGGCCCTTGAAGGCCTCATCTTCATTCTGTGGCTCCCTGAGTCTGGGACCTGGGTTCTACCCCCCCCAACCCACACCCTCAGCCTGGGCTCCCTGAGCGGAGGGCCACTGAGAATAGATTGGGCTCCCGCACAACAGGTCCCCAGGGCCCCGCCATCCCTGGACTCACCCAGGGCAGGGCCAGTTCCCATCCTCCCAGCGAGTCTACTTTCAGAGCCCAGCGCAGGGCTCGGCCTCCAGGGGGCGCCAAAGGGACACACCTGGAAGGAGGCGGTCCTGGGCTCACCTCCAGGTGGAGCGGTGACACCTGAATTCATCTTGACCACACAGCTGGGGACACCTGAATTCATCTTGACCACACAGCTGGGACAAGGCTGGACGCTGGCAAGCCCATTCCCATTGAGCAGAGGAGGTGGCTGAGGCTCAGAGAGGATGTTCCAGGCAAGCAGGCAAGCTCAGCAGGGTCCATCGTGCAGGGCGGCCTGGACTACGGTGGTCCACATCCCTGGGCCTCAGGGAAAGATGTTTAGTCCTTCCACCAGGGCACCCTGGCTCGGGGGAAGCCTGCTGACGGTGGAATGAAGGGAACGTCCCTCTTGCTGTGAGCAAACTCCCCAACTAATGCCTTGGTTTAGGTGAGCAATGAAGGCCCAGAGAGGGTCGGTGACTTCATTAAAGTCACACAGCAAGTTAGCAGAGTAGCCAGGATTAGAACACAGGAAGGACTCCTGACACCCTGTCCTGGGGCGGCCCCTCTCGGCCAGAGTGGGGTCCCCAGACAGCTCACACTTTGGGGTCTTCAGGCTTCTTCTCTGGCCCCGACTCCAACAGCTGCTGTTCTCGGCCAGGTTTGGGCAGGCTCAGCTTGGCGCCTGCCTCTGGGCGCTGCTGCCTCAGGACGACCAAGACCAAGGTGAAACAGGCCAGGGAGCTCACCTTGAAGAAGAACTGGAGGCCGATGAACCTGGGCGGAAGAGCAGGGGCTCTTGAAGAGGATGGTCCAACCCAGGACTTGGGTGGCCTGGAGCGGGGTGGGGGGTGGCAGAGTGGGGCCCACAGGGCTTGCCCACTGTGTGGTGGGAAGCGATGAGGCCCGGGGGCGGGTGGGGGGGGGGAGTACAGAGGACCCCAGGAAGTCTAGGAAGCAGACCCCGTCACCATGGTCATGGCTGGGGAGACACTGCAATTGCACAGTTGACCCTGGTGGGGTTCTTCCCTGGAACAGGGGAGGGGCATCTTGCCTGCCTGCTGCGTGGCATGAACCAGCTCCCTCTCTGTGCCCTAAGTGCTCATAAACTTGAAAGCCAAACTCAGTGCCATCGAGTCAATGCCAACTCATAGTCACCCTGTGTGGCAGGGTGGGACTGCTCCTGTGGGTTCCCCACCAGAACTGTGACATCTCATGGGAGTAGAAAGCCTCATGCTTCTCCTGAGGAGCGGCTGGTAGTTTCGAACGGCTGACCCTGTGGTTAGCAGCCCGACACGTAACCCATTCCACCACCAGGGCTCCTTAAGCTCTCATGGGACCTGACAATTGCATGTTTGGATACCCTTACTCTCTTGCCCCCCAGAAGAGGACTCTCTCTCCCTTGTTACCTTAAAGTTCCTCCCCTAGGAGACATACCTCCTTCCCCACCCCTGCTGCCCCACAGCCCCTGTCCTCAGGGACCACACTCTCTGCAAGGCTGGAAGTGACTAGCCCCCCTAGCAAGCCGCCAGAGCTAGCAGCCCCTCTGCCATCAGGCTCTGTTGAGCACCTCATTGTACAGATGGAAAGACTGAGCCCACGGAAGCAGCCACAGAAATGACCTCGCTCACCACTAGGTCATTCACCAGACACTCTGCAGGCCCAGCCTGGGATGGTTACACAGCGTGGGTTCAAGGCCCACTTTGGCCAGGCATTTGTATTCGCTGTGTGGCCTTGGGCTGCTGGCATTGACTCTCTTTCCCCGGTGATAAAAGGGCGGCAGAGTTGAGCAGGACGACTGTGCCTAGCACATGCCAGGCAGCAGGGAGATGCCATGAAAGCTCAGTTCCCCTGCTGGCGTCCTGCTGGGGTCCTGAGTGTCCTCCCAGGCCCCTTCACACAGCCCCTGGCAGCCCCCGCCCAGGGCCCAGGGCCTCACCGGGTCCGGAGCAGGTCGTGGTCGTAGTATCGGCAGACGGCTCGCCGTCCGCAGCTCTGGGCCCAATACACGCAGGTGGTGTCGATGGTGCTGCCGTGGACCACGGGGCTGAGCATCCAGGCTGCCGGAGGGAGGGGCTCAGGGGACACGGCTGGCCCTGGCGCCCCCACCCCTCCCCACAGACTCCCCGAAGAGCTGCCCAGCTGCTTTCTCCTCGCCCCCTCCAAGTTAAAACCCCAAAGCCACCCTCGCTGCCACTGAGCCACTGCTGGCCCAGAGTGACCCGGTAGAGCAGGGCAGACTGCCCCTGGGTTTCTGAGACTGCAGCTCTTTCTGGGAGTCGAAAGCCTCATCTTTCTCCTGTGGAGCAGCTGGTGGTTCTGAACGCCAACCTTGTGGGTAACAATGGCTCACCACTATGCCACTACCCCCAAGTTAAGAGCCCCACTCATCCCTGTGCCTCCAGGTTTAGCACCCAGTGGTGGGCTTCCGCACCCCGGTAGGCCACCCATGGTCCCAGCAGACCCTTTACCAAGCACTCTCTGCAGCATGAACTGGATGCCCACAGCCAGCGTCTTGTCTTCTCTCTTCACCCCCCTGGCAAGTGAGAACACGCACAACGTGAGCATTAGAGGGCTCCAGGCCCCAAGGGCCACATAGAAGCACAGAGGGGCTCTCATCACCCATCTCTCGGAAGGTTGGGGGCTCAGCCCCTGCACCCCATCTCCCTTCAACCTGCAGTGCCCGGTCCTGTGTACCAGACACACTCCCTGACCACCCGGACTCTGTGCTGACCTCCCCCTGGTCCTGATCAAGGACACCTCCTTTCCTATGCTTGGCAACACGTGGCGTTGGGACTGCCAACCACTCCTCCTGGCTTCCAGCCTGAGCTCCCCGGCAATCCCAGCTCCCCCCCAGTAACAGCGATGGCGGGCACCACGGGGCTCCCCAGGGGCTGTCAGCCCCCCGAGGTAGGAATCTCATTAGGCCCATCTCACAGAGAAGGAGACCAATGCTTGGATGGGTCAAGCGACTTGATCGAGACCCCAGTTAACCAGCCAGGATCTATCTCTGCATCGCAGAGCCAGCGTTCTAACTCCTCAAAATCACGCTGCCTGCTGGGGCTTCTCC